TGAAAACTGAGTTTTGGCAAACTGGGATTTCATCATTTCAGTGAACAACTGGATTCGGCAAACTGGATTTCGACAAACTGGTTGGATACCTTCTTGAATACTATTGCAATCGGCGAGAATGCATCCTTGTCACTGAAAGAGATTTTGTATTAGTTGTATATCTTATTTTATGACAACGGAGAGAGTCATTCTAGAGACAAACACTGGCAAATACCGAAAGTCGTTCAAATTAAGTGGTATTAACTTTCGCCAGCGAAGAAATCATCCCTTATTAGATCTCGTGCTTCTGTAGTCAAAGGCGAAGTTTTGTTGACACTTTCTGATAACTTTTAAGTTTTAGGTGTTCTGTCACAAAAGATATCTGAGGAACTTGAAGACTGCGGCATGGAGTTAAGGGTAAAAGTGTGAATCAAGCAAGATGTGAAATGATCAATAGAGGCAAGAAGATCACAGATATATCATTGCTACCTCCATGTTTGCAAGCAGACCATTGAGCACTAAAGAATGGAAATTAAGCAGACGTAAATGATTTGGTCAGTAGTATTCACAATGGAATGATCAAAATGAAGCAAAAAAATCATTGAGACAGTGATGCCCATGGAGGTCCAAGAACTGTTTATAATAAAGACGAAGACGTTCAGATTGCAGTGATATTAGTAATACGTGAAGATTATTGCTCAGATTGAACAAATTTATTTAGGGTATTGAAGCTGCTGTTAAATTGTTCTTTAATTTTGGCGGCCATTTTAAAAAGCGCCCTCAATTTCCTCTCGAAATCTTCACATTAATAACTATAGCTAGTTATACTTTACTCCTATCATTACATATTCAAAAGTTGGTCAAACCTACCTCTTCTGTTCTTATTTTACCCATATATATGTAGTGTATTTCATTTTGGCGGCCATTTTGAAAAAAAGCGCCCTCACGCGAAAGTTCTCAGTTTACGCCTCTTTTACCTCACATATTCTGATTCCCCTTAAAAAACTGGTCTAGAAAAACCATTAGAATTTCTACCTCTCAAAGTGGCACCTATCTCAATTATAGCATGGTCTACATGATAAAGTTATTATATTTGTGAATCAAAAAAAAAAAAATCTGTGGGCCATGCAATGTACGAAGCACCGAGCGGAGGTGGACGGTGTTCATAAGAATTTAGTCTAGAAATGCTTGCCCATGACATGGAATTTAAATCCAAAATTTAGCTTGTTTTGGAGTACCGTACTCTTCTCTCCTTTTTTTTTTTTTCCTCTCTTTTTTCTTTTTTTGCGGGGTGGGGATGGACTATCCTACGTGGTCACCTGGATCCGTCCTGATACCTTTAGGTTAAAATGAAAGGGCTACTAGTTCATATGCACATGTCCTTCTGATAAAAAAGAAAAATGAATACTGTACTGATTATCGATAACGTTAGGAATAGTTAAGTCAAATTCAACTTGCTTCATGTATTGTTGTAGGTACATAGGAGTGGGTTTCGTCCAACTGATTCATGGTCTCTTCCATTTCTGTCGTGTGCGAATGACTTCCAATTCCAAGTGACGTCATAATTTCTTCAAATCCTTCAATAAATGTATAAATTGCCAAAAAATGAACAGAGTAATTAAACATAATGATTAATGCAAATACACAATTGACGGCACGGAACGCATCTTTGCCACATTTTATTATGTTTATATAATTATAAAAGGCGTTGAAACAAGGAATTGAAGCAACGAGTCATGTGGACTATAAAACACTGGTTTATTTCAAAATAAATTTTCGACCAGTCCTCTGGTCTTCTTCAGCTCCTACCAGAAGACAGGTCGAAAATTTATTTTGAAATAAACCAGTGTTTTATAGTCCACATGACTCGTTGCTTCAATTCCTTAATTCAACGCCTTTTATATAATTTCAAGAACACACGTTGATTTATGACGATATATATATATATATATATCTGTCTCTTATACACATCTAGATGTGTATAAGAGACAGGGATTT